ATTTGCAGTATTTCATTTACATTATGGAGTCATCAACAGCATAGAATTTTTTTCAGGAGACAGTCTTTTCTGGGTTTAAATTTCCCTATAGATATAAAATCCCTTCAAATTTCATGGCTGCTTTGCATAAGTAGTCCCAAAGATATCTGGCACGCAGCCTGGAGTTTGAGTGTGAATGTTGTTATCTTTTTCTTGATTTGTATTGCCTTGTGATTTGAGTGAGTATCTAACTGTTCCTCCAGGGCCAAGTAATCACTTTCAGTGCTCCTTCCAAGAATTTATTAGATTGGGTTTATTTACACAAGTCTATGAGAAATAATAGTTGGTTGTTTTAATGACCCATTGTTAATAAAAAAGTGTTCCGGTGGCACTTTTCACTAGAGTTCAGCTTCCCATTGGTAGTTAACTTCTGGTGGTGGGATGTGACTAAGTGCCCTGTAAGGGAAGTAACTGCGGTGGCCAGTGTTATTATGGAACACTTTAGTTTTTAGTTTTTCAATTACAGCTGACATTCAGTATTACTTTATATTAGTTTCAGGTGTAAAGCATAGTGATTAGACATTGGTACAATTTACGGAGTGCTCCCTTTGGTAAGTCTAGTACGCACCTGGCACTATGCATAATTATTACAATATTATTGACTATATTCCTTATGTTGTGCTTTACATTCCCATGATCAATTTGTACTTATTAATCCCATTCACTTCTTCACTCAGTCCCCCAACCCCCCTCCCATCTGGCAACCCTCAGTTTGTTTTCTCTATATGTGAGTCTGTTTCTGTTTTGTTTGTTTGTTTTGTTCTTTAGAATCCCCATATAAGAGAAATTATATGGAATTTGTCTTTCTCTGACATTTCACTTAGCATAATACTCTCTAGGTTCATCTATATTGTTGCAAATGGTAAGATTTTATTCTTGTTCATGGCTGAGTAATAATCCATTGTATATATATTGAAATTTGTACCACATTTTCTTTATCCAAATTTATTGATAGGCACTCAGGTTGCCTCCATATCTTGGTTATTGTATTATAAATAATGCTACAGTGAACATAGGAGTGCATATATCTTTTCAAATTAGTGTTTTGGATTTCTTTGGGTAAATACCCAGAAGCAGAGTTGCTGGGTCATGTGACAATTCTAATTTTAATTTTTTGAGGAATCTCTATACTGTTTTTCATGGGAGCCGCAGCCTTTTGCAATCCCACAAACAGTACACGAGGGTTCTCTTTTCTACTATGGAAGTCTTCTGTGTGAGTTTTTTCTTTGTTTTTTGTTTTTAATGAACAATGCAATGCAATTGACTGAGGAGTTGGACAGTGGTTACAGAATTTTTAAGATGAAGATTTTACCTAGTCTAGTGCCTTCCTATTTACTGGTATGGAAGCTGAGAGCCAGGGTAGTCAAGTAATTTGCCCAGATTCATAATCTTTATATTGTCTGACATTAGAACCTTATTCTACTTCATTGCCTTCTTTAGGAGCCGTACTTTGATAGCTGTTTTGTGTTTTTTTGTTTAAAGTTGCTAGTTTGTAACTTGCTACAGCACCTAAAAATGCTGTCATTTGGAAGAGCTGTTAATTTTTTTCAAAATCACTCCGTTCGGCAAAACCTCCATTCTTTGCCTTTTATATCTTTGCTTGTGCTTTACTGGACAGGGGATGGAGGTAGACTGAGAGCCTGTTTTAACAGCAATTTGAGAGCTTTAATGAACAGTACTTTCAAAACTTGATAGATATGGGGTTTTTTTTAACTGTAAGTATTTAGATATCGTTTCTTACAGAGCTTTTTATAATTGATAACAGGCAAACTTTTAATCATTATGAAATAATCTCTTGGCTTTGCAGATAGAGATATTGAGAGACCCTACTTCATTTAATTTTAAAATAATAAAGATTATTCTTAAATGAGATATGAAACTGATACTGCATCAAGAACTTTCTAGATAGAGCTGTACTTAAAGCATTTTTCTGGGCATAGCATCAGAATATTATTTTATAACATAAGGTATTATATTAGAGCATTATCTCTCCATTCCCCCTCCTCTGGCCCCCAACTGTGTCCCCGCTGAGGGGCTGTCCTTTTGTCACAACTAGTTTCTATCTCCTTAATCTAGATAAAGTTCTTTACCTTGCCAATATTTGAGGAGTGTAAAATGAGTGTATCAGGCAAAATTAGGCTCTCTATCCATGGTAACTGAAGGGAAACTTTTAAATATTAACTTTTTAAAATAGCCATTTAATTCATTGATACAAAAATCAGCCTGTCAGTGAGTTTAGCACAGCATAATGTAGTATTATGTAGCCTGTAATTTAAAGCAGATGTGAAATGCAATATAGATTGGAGCTTTGACAAATGAGTTTTATGTCTTATTTGTAGAAATATAGGCACCAGGTGAGCTGATACAGGTTAAAATGCTGTATATACTCTATTTGCATTTGATTACTCCTGTCTAAACCTTAAGGTTGACTTATTTTTTCTTATAATACAATTTTTAGACCAAACAATTTAAAGAGTGCCTTTAAATGAAAGGGAACTTTCACTAATTGTATCCTCTCAAACATACACTATATTATGCTTCATAACTTAATATAATGGAAGTGATTTTTGGAGTCTTTTGTATCCTACACCTGGACCTATACCAGACTTATCTAATGTTATATTCTTAAGAAAAAAATTTTTGATTTGATATTATCAAAGGGTTTTGGGGGAAATGGTTCTTTCTAGGGTTTGATGCCCGACGTGTAGCTGGAGGAAAGTTATTACTACTATCTCAGAGGATTATGAAGTCATATACACAATGCTTTCAAATCCTTAAAACTCTCCCCTGAATTTTCTACTTTTGTGCATAACCTCCCTTGTAGTTTTCAGTTCTGTTCTCATGGTATTCATACATCGGGACCATATTCTGTCTGTTGTTTTAAGAGCATTGACTCAGAGGAGAAGCCTATTGCTTTCTTGTGGAGCTTTCGTTGCCAAACAGGTGAGGTTAGCACTTTGATGGCATCTTCCTGACAGTTGTAGGTAGCAGCAAGGTCAACAGTCATGCCACTGCTGCTACTAATACCACTGCCACCTCCACAACCACACAGAGTCAGGAGGAGAAATCTCCCAAAGGAGTAAGAAAAAGTGTAAATTGGGCTGGGGAGTAGAAAACTATAGCTGCTATGGTACTTTCCAACATGTGTGCTTTACACCATCGTGTATTTCTTCATAATGCTAACTACAAAGAAACTGCTGTGTATGCCTCGCTTGCCATTCTTTCATTCTCCACAGCCTGGCTGGTAAAAATGTTTACCTTCCTAAATGTTTTTATTTTAGAACACTTCTCAAGCAGCAGAGATAGACTTTTTAAAAAACCCAGAACAGCCAAGTAAGTTGAAGATGAACATGCTTTAAAGAAAGGTCACCACACTCCTGCGGTACTTCAAGGCTGTCTTTCCTCCAGCATTTCTGGTAGCTCTGTTACTACTGTGATTTTTACTAAAAAGCAAAACTGAAGCTGCAGCTAGGAAGGCTATAGAATGCATGCTCACATTCCTAAAAATTCATCTTAAAAAGTGAAGATTTATTTCTTAAAAGTGATTTTATTAAATATTTACATGCTTTTAACATGTTACTTTTTAATCAGTTGTAGTAATTTACTTGTAAGTACCCTCTGAGGAAGGCTTGTATTTTTTCATCCTATAGATGTTCAAATTGAGGTATAGATATTTACTTATGTAGGACCATCAGCAAGTTATATGTGAAGAAAAAGATGTTGGGATTGTCTGATAAGAGTATCATAAGATTATTTTAATTATTAATATGTATTTGTGGAATAATAAGAACTATTAGTACTGTAACTATTAGAAAAAAAAGTAAATAAGTAAAAGTAGGTAAATAGACAAAAGTGGGATTTCAGGCTTGAGCTTGAGTATATTAGGTAGCATAAGGCCAAAAATGTGAACATTTATTATATACAGACATATACACTAGGTATTGGAGACATAGGAAATAAAAGGTGTTATTCATGGCCTGCTTTAGTTATTTTCCACTAAAAAGTAAAACTGAGCATCGCTACTGCTGGAAGGTATGGAAATACAGTACATGGCAATAGGATATCTTGTCTTTTTGTTTACTGCAGACAAACAGCTGAAATGTAGTCCTTGGGAAATTCACCAATGCTTTCACTGCAAACCCTCACACATGCTTTTCATCATTCTTTTTCTTACCTCCTAATAATCGTTTTTGTTTTCCTTCTTTCTCTTCTTTTCTACCCTTTAACTTACCTCATTTACTTGCATATATAAAAGTGAATCTACAGATTTGAAATGTTAATAAAGGCTCCTTTAAGTGTGGTATATGAGACTCAGAAATATACATCCTATGGCAAACAGCAATCTGGGTTGACTTTTCCTTAGTGGTAGTCGTGCCTCTGTCTCCTTATTTCACTCTGTCCTCCTGTTAACACTGCCATAGTTGTTGTCATTGTCATCCTGCTCCCTCTCTTCTTCCTCCTCCTCATAATCATGTGGATCTTTGGGAAACTTCTAGCTACTTAAGTGGCATTCATTCACTGTCTTAAAATGTGTTCTATATATTTTTCCCTATTATTTTTTTCCTTGAAAATCCTGTGCAACTACAGTGCTTTCTGAAATCTTCTATTTGAGACTGGTTCTTAGTAGCTTGTGTCTTTGTTCTCCCTTCATGTTAATTTTTATTTGGTTTGCTGTGAATTTCCTTTGTATTTCTTGTTTTTGCTCCTCTCATGAATTTGTACCTCTTTTTTATTTTTCTCCAGTCAAGACATTTATTGAGGGAACAGGAAAATAACGTGCTACAGAGTTTATATGCATTTGGTTTTTTGTCATCTTCAATGTCAAGAAGTTTATATTTTATTCAATTGGAAAACATGATGGATGGATATGAAGCTATGGATCAATATCTAAACACCTGCATCCCTAAATATGCATAATAGATATTTACTATTGCTGAAGGCTTCTTTCTTGCTCTCTCCAGGAAAGGAAGGAAAGGCTCTCCAAATTTGAGTCTATTCGTCATTCAATTGCTGGAATAATTAGGTCTCCAAAATCTGCATTGGGCTCTTCAACAGTAAGTAGGATGATGAACTCTGTTACTGAAAATAATCATTACCTAGCTCTTTCTGATATACCAATGAATATCATATGTAAATTTGTCCTTACAAATGGAAATGTAAATAAATATTTTAACTTTATATATGTATATGTGTCTGTGCATGTGTGTATATAGTAAAACCCTGTCTAACATTGATCTAGGGAGGAAAGAAATAAACTTGTATTATAGAGTTCCTGCACTGCAAATAAATATTACATTATTTGAACTTTGGTATTTAGTAAAGAATAGTATAAACAAATCTCTTTTCCAGTGAAGCATTTTTATAAAGCAGATTATTCTACATGCATTTGTACATGCATGATTTTATGTGTGTTAATGTTTTTTAGAACATTAAATTATAAAATTGAAGTCTAAAAGTTGGGTTTGGCATATTACAATAGTGCATGGAATATTAGTTATCTTCAGTAATAATGGCTATATCCAAGCAAAATAAAAAAATATTCTTATCCTCTTCATATAGTAAAAATCTGAAGGGTTTTTTCACTTCATTGCCTGTAAAAATTAATTATCAAACTTTTTATTTTAGCCATGCCTTATTGATAATAGAGCTTTACAATGACATCTTATTGAATGCTGGTCAATACAACAATACTGAGTATAAATAATGACATGATTTCCCCCCAACTCTCTTAAGTTTCTAATGATGATATCTTTTTCTTACTTTTAAAAAGTTTTCCTGTGTAAGACAATGCAACCTAGTCTTATTTAGAAAAAGAAAGTGTTTTCTAACCACAGGTTAGTTAAATTTCCATTCACATTTGGATTTATTTGCTATAATTTTTTTTTTAGTATGTAAAATATATTCCCTTACGTATTTCACTTAAGCAACAATTTGTTATACGCAAGTAAGGAAATTAGCAGGTACTTTAACAAAAAAGAATAAAATTTTTATATAAAAGAGATTTTTTACTTACATTTCAGCCTTTGATGTTGCCCTTGTCACCTCCCATATATAGAAGTTCCGTGGGAATAGGGAGGGAGCTGTGAACTAACGGAGACCATCTCATGTGGCATTAAATAGCAAGTGAAAATAAAAATAATTATAAGCAAAAGCAACACGATAGAGGAAGTCTCTTTCAAGACCCATTTCCTACTCTTTTTTTCTTAAGTAATTGATTTATAGTTTTACAGATAAGTAGTAGTTCATTGGACTTGGCCTATTATGATTTGACACTCAAAATAACTGTAGGAGACTGAATAATTTAGGATAAGTTCTGGAGACCTTATGGGGTAGTTTTTCATAACTTTTATTTGAGTAAAAAGTATTTGAGACAAAATTTTTTTAAAGCTTTAAAAAAGAAAAGCAAAACTGGATTTTGAAAAGAAATGTTCATACCTCGGTTAGCTTTTCATAAATTTATTTAGCATTAAAACAGAAATGGCATACTTAAGTTGTCATTAATTCACTTTTATTTCACTTAGGTCAGAGGTCTTTATGCCGGGTGTTTACTGGTGATGTAATTTATGAAAGGTGTCCCCCCTCAATTTCCTTTTAAGATCAAGCTTGACTTCAGTAAAAATTTTTAAATATTTTAGAACCAGGGCCCATTATAAACTCAAAGTTTCCTTTAGTTTTATTCTTTGGTGTAAAAGGAGGAGAGAGGAATTTAAAGCTTCAGAAGTTTAACAAGTACCAAAAAAAAAAAAAAAAGAAAAATTCTATGATAGTGGAAATGGGCTAATATTCTACATGTTTGTTTTCCCCACAACCTAGGACTCATAAGAACCTTGTGCCCTCAATACGGGCCTCTAGGAGTATAACAGTGGCTTCTGAGACTTCATGTTATATGTATTGCTTCAAAGCTCATAGTTATGGGAACTTCAGCTTTTGTCTCTAAATCAGGATTGATCAGAGGATGAGAGAAATTTTGTCTTTTAAGACACACCATGTCTAGAAACAGAGAAATCTAGTTAGCTCATTATGATGGAGTTATATAGGCTTGGCTATCCTAAAAGTACGTTGGGGATATTATGAACAATCTTAATGAATTGATGGTATAAACCATAACTTTTTAAATATGTGAAGGTATTTACATGTTATTTTCTCCATTTAAAAATGGGCTTTACCTTTCTTAAATAAAATTATTAAATTGACAGTGATTGATTTTGGTAAGCCTTTGGTGTTTACAAATTGCCTTTTCCTGACATGAATTGAAATGCCTTTCCCAGTAACATGTCCTTCATTCAGAGATACATTGTGATCTTTTTAAAAATAAATTATCAACACTCTTAAATGCCCATTTACTTCTAAGAAAATATTCCCTCTGTAATTGAGAATTTTGAGAATGTTCACTTCCTCAAGTCCCAGTTTACTACATTTGTATTTTCATGATGTAGGCAATTATTATTTCCATCACTTCAGTGCCCTTTGGTATTTCCTGATTTATTTAAAATCTCATGAACTGAAAAGATTGAGGCAGTGTGTGGTTTATGATGCTGTGTTACACTATGAATAAATATACACCAATATTTCTCTAAGGCCTTAGATATCATGCTTATTTGGAGAAGAAGGTTTTTCTCCTCAAATACATAGGTAACTAAGGTCTTGAGACTTAATGTGAATGTGAAAGTTTCAAATGTTAAGCATGATTGGCCGAGATGCATAACAATTTAGGCACTGCTTAATTATAAATACATTTTTTTCTGACATAGCATTTCTTAGAGTATTCTAATTTGGTAAAAGTAAAACAGAAGGGAAATTTTTAATTACTATAATTTTTTTCTCTATAAAAAACTTTACAACATGGCATAGTTAATCATATTTAAAATATTTTTTAGTGCTATACTTCATGTAACATAAAATTCACCACTTTAGAGCATACATTTAGTGGTTCTTAGTATACTCGTTATGTTGTGCAACTATCATCACTACTTGCAGAACATTTCAAAGTCCCCAATAAGATACTTTATACCCTTTAATACTTAGTTTCAGTCCCCCCCCACCCCCTTTCCCATTTTGGATTTGCCTATTCTGGACATTTCACATAATTAGAATTATACAGCCCTGGCTGATGTGGCTCAGTGGATTGAGTGCCAGTCTGCAAACCAAAGTGTCACTGGTTCAATTCCCAGTCAGGGTACATGCCTGAGTTGCAGGCCAGGTCCCAGTAGGGGCATGAGGGAGGCAATCACACATTGGTTTTTCTCACCCTCTCTTTCTCCGTCCTTTCCCTCTCTCTCAAAATAAAATAAATAAAATCTTTTAAAAAAAGAATTATATAATATGTGATCTTTTTGTGTCTAGTTTCTTTCAGCAAGTATAATGTTTTCAAGGTTAATCTTTTTTTTGTGACTAAATTATGTTCCATTGTATGGATTCATCACATATTATTTATCCATTCATCAGCTCATGGATATTTGGATTATTTCCTTTTTTAGCTATTATGAATAATGCTGCAGTCAACATTTATGTACACTCATGTTTTCATTTCTCTTGGTTGTATACCTAGAAATTACTGGGTCATATGGTAATTCTCATATGTTTAGTTTTTGAGGAACTGCCATACTGTGTTCCACAGTGATTGCATCATTTTACATTCTCACCACCAATATATGAGTGCTTCAATTTGTTCTCAATTTCATCAACACTTATTTTCCTGTTTTTTATTAAAAAATTAAAGGTATCCTAGTGGATATGAAGTGGTATGTTATAATAGTTTTTATTTGACCTTTTCTGATAACTAATGATGTTACCTTTTTAAATGCTTATTGACTTCCTGTATATGTTCTCTTGAGAAACGACTTTTCATTTCCTTTGCACATTTTAAAATCAGGTTGCTTTTTAATTGCTGAGTTATAAAAGTTCTTTATATATTTTGGACACAAGCCCCTTTTATGATATATAATTTGAAAATTCTTTTTCTCATTTTGTGAATTATCTTTTTACTTTCTTGATAGTGTCCTTTGACAAAGTTTTAATTTTGACAAAGTTCAGTTTTTCTTTGATGGCACATGCTTTTGGTGACATATCTATAAAAACATTGTCTAATCCAAGGTCATGCAGATTTTTACCTTTGTTTCCTTCTGAGAATTTTATAGTTTTAGTCCGTACATGTATGTCTTTGATTCATTATGAGTCACTTATATATGGTACAAGGCAGAAGTCTAAATGTATTCTTTTGTCTGTGGAAACATATTTAATTTAAAATATTAAAACAGCAACAACTATGATATCACTGTTTATCTACTCAAAGAGCATATAAAAATTTGAACTTTAAAGCAAAATTTTTGATAAAAGTAGAGCAATGATTTGCATTATATCTAGGGATATGAAAGTAAAATTAGTCATAATGGTATTCCCATTGGACTTGTCATCACTATTTATTTTAGCATTTTAAACAGTGTGCCTAAAATATAGAGATACCTTTGAAGAGAGTCTAACAGCTGATTTCAATGAATGGTTTTGATGGAAGGAAGGATGTAAGATAATTAGCTGACAGATGAATTTGGCATTAACAATATAGTTTCTGATGATAGATGTTTACTAATTATTGTCATGATCAGAGTAGTATTTTAATATGTTATATCAGCTCCAGGCATGTAGTCTTTTTTCAGTTTATGAAAGGTGTTAAGTAACCTGTGAGTACTTCCTGGGCACTAAGACCTGTTCCACATGCAGCATCTTACCATGATGCAGGAAGTTATAATTTCCATTGAGAACTCTTTCTCAGACACTGCTTTTGAATTCAAAGCCAGAGATGTCAGACAGAGTTTACTGTATAATCTGAATGCCTACTGGCAATCATGAAGGTCCATTTCCACTGCAAGTCTTTAAACCACATTATATTTAATGAGATCTGTTCCAGTCACATCAAGAATACAGTCCTTTCTCCAGAGTCATGTTTTTAATGGAGAATTTCTATAAAAAGTGGTTGAGCAAACAGCTTGGGCCTCCATCTTACAGCCCCTCATAAGTACTAGTTGCACATGATCTATGGAGTGTATAGCACTTCTAA